ACCAGGACCAGAGGGTTCTGGGTTGGAGTCCCGGGGGAACCAGGACCTTTCTGGGTGGAGTCTGCATGTTCTCCTGTGTCTGTGGGTTCTCTCCGGGTTCTCCGGCTTCCTCCCACCGTCCAAAAACCTGCATGTTAGGTTGGTTGGACTCCAAACTGCCCTTAGTGTGAGTGTGTGTGGTTGTTGGTCCTTGTGTGTCTCTGTGTGACCCTGCAATAGACTGGGGACCGTCCAGGGTAACCTTGCCACTCCCCATTGACTACTCCCCATTGATTATTCCCATTAGGGAATAAGCGGTTACAGAAATGGATGGATGGACTAACAATTTTCCCATGAAAACTTTTTTTTCCACCAAAAATATTTCCATTAGATTTGTAGCTTTTTCCCCAATAATTATTTAGATTTTTCTTTTAATAATTTTTTCACCGATAACAATCCAAAATGACCAATGGAAGTATGACTCCAAGTAATTTTAATTATTATTGATGGTTGCAATAAAATGCAAAACACACAACGTACCCTGGACTAATCCGAACAAAAAAGGAGAGGTGAAACCAGAAAAAGATGACAAGGAAAAGGAATTAGGTCAAATAAAGTAAACATGAGATGAGGACAGAAAGGGTAAAAGATGAAAATGAGACAAAACTGACAATGGAATGGGGTGATTTATCTGACAAACAAAGAAAGAAAAATCTGGTGAAAACATCAGCAAGTTGACAAAATGGGAGAAAGGAATATGGGCTTTTCGTGCCGTTCGTTGTTCCTCCGAATGGAAAGGGAAGCTGGTTTTGTTTTGCTCTGGGGCACGAATTGTGTCGAGAAACAGGAAGCCAGAGGTTCTGCCCATCCTGACGGACAGCTGGTGCCCCCTGATAGCTGCTCCCCTCTTCCTGTTCCCTACGACCGAAGGTTCCCGCCCTAATCCAGGACACCTGGAGACCACGATGAGTCACTGCTCTAAACGGCACCACAACACGCTGTTCTAAAGCACTAATTGATCATTTATCAGCTAGTAAAGTAAATTCAAATAAGTCTTTGTCCTTATCTTGGCACACTACATAAAAAAACAACTTTAGCCGTTATTTCCACAACTTAATTGTAAAGCATGCATGTTCCCATTTGTACAGAAACTAAAGAGTTGTGCATGAAACTTGTTTTTTTTACTGGATTATTTCCTATTATTTCTTATTTTTCTTCTCAATTAAAAAAAATGTTTTATACGAATAGCCTCAGTTTCAGTTTTGAGATTGGTTTTCTCAAATGTAGGGTTGATAATGAGGGTTAACTGCTTTTTGTTTGGTTTGATTCATGGATCTATTTGTTGAATCTGTGTTTTTGGACTTTTTGGACTGAAAACAATGCTACTCATCAGTCTCATACAGTTCAAAGTCCAAAGCCCTTTAGAGGGAAATTTAATCGAGGATCATGGGGCCTCCTGCCAGAGGCTAAAAGTAACAGCTCACTAACTTACTGTCATGTCAGGGACTCCTAATAAGGAAAAGCTCTGTTTGCATCTTAATGCCATTCAAAACTAATTTGGCTTCGGGGCCCTTTCAGATGAACCTGAAACATTAGAGAAACTTAATGCAATGTGCTTCACAGACATGCAATCAGACCAAGAGGTTTGTCGCTTTTAAAATAAGAGAAAGTAATTAGTAAATGGATAAATGTATGCGTCAGCCACCAGCCAATTATTTCACAAACTAACTAACAAAAGTCTGCAGACAGTCTCATCAACATGGTGGACAAAGCTCTGTGCTAAACTCCTAAAAAAAACACCACACTGCAAAACAAACTGTCATTATGATTAAATGTAGTTGTTTTTTTTGTTTTTTTAGAAGAACAAAACTTGGTCTCCATCAACCACCATGATTTTTTATAAACAATCCACATTGACCGCTATTAAAACTAAAACTCTGTTCTTTTATTTGTCCTCTAAGACCCGTGTTGCTTGTAAGTCTGCTGTCAATAAAGAAAATTGACTCCTTGCAGGTACAGGAGAAAAAAGTATTGGCACACTGCTATGTTTTTAGGCAGGGATCTTTTGTTGAAGAAATAAATCACAGGTATGTGCTGGAGTGCTTTTCCTAGCAGCCCACAATGCTTTTTGTGAAAGAGCAGACATCAATTATTTTAGATATTGGAAATGGTTTTAAGCTTAGAATTCCCAGAAGCCTCAAAGAGAAGGTCCCTATTCTTTCTTAGCCAGTCAAATAGTTAAAACATAAACACAGAGCCACTGATTCAACATCCACTCAGCGGCTTTACTGTAAAAAACTGTTTTTTTACACTGTGAATGTTAAATTTCAAATGGCAAAAATGTGCAAATACTTTACAACGGTCACTAAAAATTTAATTATCATTGCTGTTGCCGTTTAATACAAAATGGAAACATTTCAATTATAGGTCTGTCAATTTTCTTTTTTTTTTTTTACCACAAATTGTGCTGAAGCTATTTTCATTTGTGGATCCACGTGTTTTCAAACGCAAAGAAAAAATTCCAGGCTGAATATTTCCTCAGTTCATGAGATTATAAGTGATTCAGATATAATGTTTGTTTAATTCTTCGGTTGAATATTTGTATTGTGATGGAGACTGTGGAATTAAAACCAGCTTCAAAGAAAAACTATAGTTACGTGCACAATAACTTAGTTAATAGAAGTAAACATGAAGTGCCACTTATCTGACATGCGACTATGTGACATGTGATTATGTTAGCTGCTACTGTTGCTATGGGAGACATCCTAAATGATCAAAGAAACAAGCAGAAAATCTAACCAAACGCTCACATTTAAAGACAAAGATCATTCTTAATGATCAGTTCCAGTAGGTGGCTAGCAGTACATCCTTTATTTCCTTAGATTTGGACCCAAAAACTCTAAGTGCTGCATGCATCTTGTTCTCCCTACAGTAGAGGGCAGAAGGGCTTTCAAATGAAAGCTTTGTCATCAGGAGGAGTGTTCAGCTGTCAGACGTGTGATTGTGGAGCCACAGGAAAAAGGAGGAGAAGATTACAGATATTATTTGAGCTAAAATGAGAGGGAAAAAAAAAAAAAAAAGGTTTTGCGGGGGACCTCTCGGTCAAAATTTACTTGCGGGGAAAGGTGAGGTTGATTTTTCCTTTTTTGTTATGAGTGAATACAGAAAGAACCCACAGTTAGAGTCACAGAAACAGAGAAGCACACACAGGGGTTCGAATAAATTCACAAATTGAAATCTTACCGGTCAGTTTTTCAGAATTGTTTTGAAACTATCTGGAAATGAGACGTAAGATAACTTCCAGAAAACAATTCTGTCAATAGAAACGCAAATTAATTGGCTGACTCCTACTATACATTTGTCATATCGCAGCTTTACCATTCATATTCATTGCTTTTTATCTGACTCATTGCTTGTTTCCTTTTTAGACTAACTGTCATTCACTTTGTCATGTTCTTTCCATCAGCATTTCCAAAAACAACTAAAGACGCCAAGGGTCTTTAGACAGAAACACATCACCTAAAAGTATTTAAAAAAGTACAAATTCAGCCAGACTGGTTTACAATAGATGGCAGTGTTGAACTATTCAGGAGCAGAATGCACAGAAAAATGTTAGGGGCTACTGGTACAATTTATGTTGAAATCCATCATTTTTCTCCTCTCCTCTCCTCTCCTCTCCTCTCTTTCTGCCTCTGTCTTTTTCTTTGTGGCCAATCCAGCGCTGAGGTTCCCAGGCTGGGCTCGCCTGTCAATCACGGGCAGTCCTACATCTCCGCGCTGCAGCTGAGCCAGGGCCGCATCATCCCACCTGCCAATCACAGCTCCACACCTTCAATCCTTTCCCATCTCTCTAAAGCAGATCCGAACACTGCCCCC